TATATTATTATTATATACAAATAAGACAAGTTATAATTTATAGAAAATTAATATGTCTATGTTATATAAATAAATTGTGGACCGAGCTGAGCTGAAAATGATCACCCCTGCAATTCTTTTTTTTTTTTCTGAACCGACTCCCCCTTGCCATTCTAAAGGTTGGGGGACTGCCCCCTCCCCATCCTACCCCGTAGTCAAAATGCTCTGTCTTGTCCCAATCGTGTCTTTGATGTTGGTGCAGGTTTGGGGCGAAGCACCTTCTCCTCACAGGATTGGAAAATCCTTAAGTTTTTTCTGTCCCGAGACAATCACCTAAAAATAATCTAATTTATAAGTATTTTATAAAAAGGATTATGAGAATTTAAGGATATTTTAGAAATTGAATTAAACAATTTGGGATATTTTAGAAATATAATTATAGAATCTTAGAATTTTAAAATTTTAGGAAAAACTTAGAGATATTTTAAAAATCAACATTAAATTTAAAAATATTTTATTAATTTACCATCGGGTTCAAGGAATTATATGCAAACCCCATCTCCAATTCAAAACAAAATTATTTTTCCTATCCCCACCTGTCCCTGTTTAAGATCAAGGAAAACCCACCCATTAGGGGTGGGGTGGGGCGGGCCTAGTTTACGGGAGGTAAATTGCCATCCATATATGGGACATGGAGCAGACATTGCATATAAATAGAGTTTGAGACTACAAACTAAAGCTGAGATCTAATAGCCTTCAAAAAAAAAAAGCTGTAATCTAATACTGTTCATACCGTCGTTGTCATCCCGAACGCCCATGCTTGTGTCGTTTGACCACTGGAATGAATGTTCAATTTTCAAAATCTTAGCCAGATGACGGAACCCATTTTAATGCCTTTCAACTGCCTGAAAACGACGGGGAGTCTTCAGAGTCTGGTCTTGGAAAATCCAGAAGCTGGATTAACCTACCCTCCACCATGTCCAAAAATTGATGGAGGATCATAAATTTGTCCTTTATCTTCTTGTGTCTTCATTTGTTTCGAATGCGAATATCATTTGCACTTCTATAAATGCATAGAAGTGCAAATTCCTATTCACTTTTGCTTCATGTTTGACTGTCTTGCTTGTTTAACTAACAAGCAAAAGGATGATCCCGGCTTTATATGTAAAAGAATGGAGGCAGAAGGGAGTTAAGATCTATTTTCAACAAAAACTGTCCCAACATGCTTCCAATTAATCCGGACACCTCACCATGAGACTATGACCCATCATGTTTGAGATGTGTGGACATAGATCATGTTGGAAGTGTGTTAGAATGATTCTTTTTACTGGGAGCAGATCCCATCTCCACAGGAAGGTTATTTGTTTGAAAGGAGTATGGTATGAAGCAAAATGACACAGTGGGTCTCACTTTAACTGAGAATTGAAGTAGGAGGAAGGTGGGGCATACTTTGCATCAGTTTTGGGGATGTAAAATTTGCAACTGCCAACAAGGCAAGTGCAAATGATGGTTACAAACGAACTCATGCAAAAACTGACCAGCTGGTGCAAAATTCATGTCCTATTCAGATTTGCATCGCAAACAAGGGATTATAATGGATGAAATCCAAATTTATCCTTTGCACTTAATATCCTTACTATTTATCTTATTTGCTTCTGTATTCCCCACTCCTTGCTTTATCACTTCCCATTAAAAGCTCTACCTGTCCAGTGTCCGATCCATCTCTCTCAGATGATTGCATGGGCAATGGGTAATCCAGATGATACATGATTAATAAATTGAAAGACTACAGTCTGCAAATACCAGTTGGGTCTCCAGAAGGTCTCCATATTTTGTCCTCTCTATAGTACTCATTCATGGGCAAATTCCATCACCTTCCCACTCAATAGAAACATTAAGTTCACTTCTTTCTTGTCTAGATGTTTTCAATGCTTAACATCAATTGAGAGAAATTCCAAAAAATGATGTAGATATACCAGTGACACGACCAGATGGGGAAGTGACTGTATTAGGCAATCCAGAGCATCTCCCATTAATGAATAAAGAAGCTTAAGTGACACACAGTAAACATTAAGCCTTTTTCCTTAAAACAAGTAACAATGACAGAACAGCTTATACATTAAAAGAGGAAATCTTGAAACTGTATATACCTGATCCTAATGGCAATCCCTAATCCTCTGGCATAACTTGTTTTCTTGTGCCTAGAACACCAGTGATCATCAATTCCACTTAAGATATCTTCCCAACCACAACCAGAAGGCCATATGGGCAAAAGCAATTACAGTGAAAATTTTCAACCATAATTGTGTTGTCATGGGTGATGAAAAGGAATATTTGGTAGTTCAGAGTATTTTATGGACCAGTTAGTTCTGGAACATGCCACAGAGCCCACACCCATATTGGACACTCATTTCAGGGTGTGTTACACATTCTGAGACCATCCATGGATGGTTCTCATCCACAAATTGCCCATTTTTGTCCACGGAGAAATGAGAAAATGGTTGATAAATATTTAGAGGGTGTTCAGTAGTGTGAAAATATTGTGGGCGGGACTGTTTTGGTCCTGTCCACAATAGAATGTGGCAGTTTACTTTGTTTGGACAATCCCCGTTCATAAAATAGCGTGGATAAGGATGGGCCACACCCAAGCTTATCATTCACAGTATTTTCTTATGGATGAACCACACTATGGTCATAAGATATGGACAGTTTGTGAAAATGATTCAGTATAATGCAATATGCATTAACACTAGTCCAACTACCCTCATTTTATCTAATCTTTTAATATGTTCTAATTTATATTGAAATTATTTTTAAATTGTTTATTGCTGAAGATAATATTATAATGATAAATATATTTATTAACAATTACGTATTGGTGTTTTAAATCATTTTTGGCTTAAATTGTAGTTTTTTTTTCATTCATGATTGTATGGGTACAAATGGATCAAATCATCCAATCTGAATCCAATCCTATTTTTGTAAGATTTGGATAACCTTTTGTTGGATTTTTTTTAGATCGGATCCAATTGGAATTTGGATCACCCCTATTCAATCTGATAGAATCCGATCCGATCTGACCTATATATGTATATATTTATAAACGTATTTACTTATAAAAACGCATGTATATATTAATATATTTATTTATAAATATGTTTATATTGCATTTTTGTAAATTTTTTTTATAAAAAGACATGTATATATTAATATATGTGATGAAAATAATTGAAAAAAATACTTATATTCTTTGTTTTTCTTTATATAAACTTTTTGTTTTTTTCTTTTAATAATTTATTATTTTTTTCATAATTTGAATCGAATCATATTAGATTCAGATATTTGACATCCTTAACAGATTCGAATTTGAATCACCATTTGTGAGATCTAATCGGATCGAATCTTGTATTATACTATTAGATCAAATTTGGATATATATTGATTTGAATATGATTTGATCTGTTTGCAACCCTACATGATTGATTATGTAAATTATCTCACAAGTTATACATGAGATATATGGAAGCAATATGTGTGGTGTGGGAAAATCCACACTACAACTGTAGAACGCCCCTATGGGTATAGACAGTTTTTGTCCACAGCTCAGTACCGACATAAATAGTAGTGTGGTGTGGACCAGTCCACACCCACCAATTTCCCTATCTATGTTATAGAACACCCCCTTATTTGGTATTGTTTGACAACTATACACCATTAGAGGCCATTAGGTTCCACATAAGGTGAACATTAAATAAACGGCTAAGTGTTTGGGAAAACATTAAAAATGGTGATTCCYCCTATGGTTAGCTCTCATACAAACCAAGAAAACATTTATTTAATAAACAGTTTTACCAAATATCATTTTACAATAAACACCTACTTAGCTAACACCATTCAAATAAATGATCATAGAACTAGACCTGTTCAAGGGCCAAGCTTTGCCTCTTTATCAACAGAAAATGTCCAGGCCCAAGCCTAAAACCTGACCCACACATAAAATGTCCTATTTCTGGTGTAATTTAATAAATTAATATTATATTAATTTGGTAATACTTTAATAAATTAGTACATTGATTCATATTTCTTAAATAGTAAATTAATATTTGATAATAACTTTATAAATAAATACATATTATATATATTTATTATATATAAATAATATAGATTTTTATTATATGTAATAGTATCGGGCTGGACTTATTTGAGAAAGCCCGAGCCCAAACCCATGGGCCTAAAATTTTGTCCAAATCCAAAAAATATCGGGCCGGGCCAGGGCGGGCCCATAAACAGGTCTACACAGAACCAAACACCATGTAAATATGCTGAATTTCGAGGTGTGGTGTGGGTTCAAACCATGTGGTTTCAGTGATGGGTCCAAACTCGACAAGTAGAGAATCATGGCAGAATCAAAACCATGATATTCTCATGTTTCTTTTCTTCTTTATAAATGAGAGATGCTGTGTTAGTTTTTTCTTTCCTTCTTTTTATACTTGTGTATCAAAGATAGATGTTTGTGAACAATGAAAACTGTTTCATCACTAATACATCTTGCATTGCTGTAGTGTGTTCCATTTCAAACTCAAGATTGATGGTTATCGGTGACCAGCTTGCTTTTATCACAATCACGGGATCAACTTGGTATTTTTCTATTCAATTTTTTATTAGAACAAAACATGAGGAACAATCAAATGATTTTCATGGAAAAATGTGCTGAGCTGGTCAAGATTTGAGAGCTATCTTGGAGTAGCACCAGTCCCAGAGTCAAGACTGCAAGCTGGCATCCCCTCATTTTAATTTCAAATTCAAGAAATCAAAATCCAACAGTGACCATCTAGGTTCTTGGTATTGGAATGCAATTTCTGAGTTTCGCATTTATTTATATCTCTTARCMCAACAAGATTAATTACATGTCTCCTTAAACCTAAAGCAAGATGAGATAAGATTGTTCATTTAATAATCAAAGTTTTGACTTTGTTGAGGAATTTCCAAATTCCAACCATAGACCTGTGTAACAAAACTAGTTGAGGAAGAAAAGTAGCCTGATCAGAAATATACTGGTTCAACAGCCTTCATATTTACATCTAAGAACTGACAAGAAAAATCAATCATCTATTGTACAACAATAGAACTACACTATAATCCTTCATAATACAGTGTCTGAAGACATCAGTCCTTGCATAAACAACTAGTATTCATCTGTTCTATGATGTTACTTCCATTTCATCAGTATGAACCAAAATGGATAGGAAGAATGAAATATGAGCAAGTAGAGTTACTGTGCTCAACTTACTCAACATCTTCCTTCAGTTTTCTGTTCAACCTGCTGAAGGCCTTGGAAGCTGGAGACAGTGAAAACTCAAAGGGTAATGGTGGAAGATCCATCTCCCCTTGCAGAATTTTAACAATCTCACCAATGTCTGGACGCAACTCAGGCATTTTCTGTAAGCACATCAAAGCTATGTTGATACACAGAGTAGCTTGATCTCTGTTGTATGTGTCCTTCAATTTTTCATCCACCAGCTCCAAGATGTTCCCAGCCCGAGCCAAGTTCCTGCACCAGCTTATCAGGTTGGCTCTCTCGAGCTTCATGGGTGAAGAAAGCACATGCAATGGCCTCCTTCCTGAGATGATCACAAGGATCACCACGCCCAGACTGTAAATATCAGCTTTCTCCATCGAACACCCGCATCCACCATATTCAGGCGCTACATAACACACAGTCCCTCTCACGCTTGTTGTACTGCTGAGCTCCCGACTGAAAAGATCCCCACTCCACATCTCACTACCAGCAGAATGGGTCGTCTTCTTCTTCTTCCAACCCTTTCTGAAACTGAACTCTGCACTAGTATCACAGTCGTTCTGCTTCTGTTCTCTGAAAGTAGCACAGCTTTGAAACCGAAACGTTCGACCCAGATCAAAATGTGGGATCTTGAAGCCTTTCTTCCACTTGGCTTCTAGCTTCCTTAACCTGCTACCCTTCTTGCTCATCTCTGCAAGGCGTTCTTCTTTCCACCATTCTTGCATCTTCCTGTGCTTCTTGTTGCTTTTTTTCCCACTCTTTCCTTCTTTCTTCTCAGACCTCTTCTTCGGACCATCAAAGATGAGTCCCTGCAACTGGGGTTCGGCTACAATTTCCAGTTTATCTGTCTGAGTCGAATTATCCAAATCGGTTTTCTCTGGGATACTCTTCTTCTCGTCGTCCCAATCAGGATTGGTGGATGGGAAAATCTGGCTTCCTATCCATTCCATGACATAATCTTTACTGCACAATTCACCACTCCCATCCTGTCTCCACCACCAATCCTTTCCCCACTGCTTTGTACTAGTTTCCGTGTCATCGATTTGCAGAGATGTATTAAGATTCAACTCCTTACTGTGTTCAGAACTACATGGGTCGTATTCGAAAGGAACGAACTTGTTCCAATCTTCTCCGCCAAATCCCACAGCTAATACCGCCTTCCCCTTTGCATTAAAATCCTTAGCACCATCCTCATTTACAGAACCGCCGGTGTTTGGATTCAGAGAATTCGAATTCAGGGTTTTCGCATTATAAACCACTTTACTACTATTTGAATAAGAAGAAGAAGAAGCTTGCAAAGCAATAGAGAAGTCTACCTCAGGAGCAGTCTCAACTGGAGTTTCATCTGTTGGAGTTTCTGCAGGAGCAGAAGCTGGATTCCCAGAAAGCTCCTGGCTTTTCCACAGCTCCTGACTCCGACCCAATTCCTGACTAAACAAGTCAATCCCGAATTCACCTTCAGTCTTAAACCTCGACAGCCCAAAATCTGAAATCTTCGCCCGATAGTCCGAACTCAATAGAACATTACTCGGCTTTATGTCGCCATGAATGACCGGAGGATCACATTCCAGATGCAGAAATGCAAGAGCTCGAGCAATGTCGAGAATAATCTCAAAACGCCGATCCCAATTCAACTCCGACGACGCCGAGCCATCACCGAACAAGGACTCCTGCAAGCTCCTGTTTGGCATATACTCATAAACAAGGAACCTTCTTTTCTCATGAACACAATACCCCAGAAGCGAAATAACAAACGGCGACCTCAAACCACCCAGAATCTGCAACTCATTTTGAAACTCACGCTCGACCTGCAACGACGACGCGTCAAGCTTCTTCACGGCAACAGACTTCCCGTCACGTAGAATACCCCGAAACACAGTCCCGGACCCACCTTTTCCGATCGAATTAGCGTCATTGAATCCATTGGTGGCCGACTTCAGCTCCCTGTAGGAGAACCTCTGCAGCTTCAGGGGAGTGCTGGAGTCGAAAGGGCTGGTGCGAGAGCGGTTGACAAGGGAGTACCAGAGATAGAAAAGAAAGAAGATGAGACCAATGAAGAACAAAGCAGAAGCCGAGATGGTGATAGCGAGAAACAAACCCCGGGCCCTGAGTATCGAGCTGGGGTTTGAGCTTGGAGCTAAAGGCCTCGAGGGCATCTTCTTCTTGGGTTTCTTCAATCGATTACAGACGAAGAAAAGCGAAATGAGGAGAAAAAAGAAAAGGTGGTGGGGGTTTTCATCTGCGACTCCAACAAGCTTTACAGTTGGGAAATCGAACAATAATTCTGAATTCTAGATAATTAAAATAATAAATAATTAAAAATAATAATATAAAGTATAAAAATGGAGGGTCCCAAGGTCCATAGATTGATACATACGCCATGAAATTAATACACGTTGCAGAAGTAGCAAATAATGTGAAGAAAACGAGAAAAAATGGAGGGAACTCAGGGAAGGTGGTGATTTTTAAAAAAATGGAAGAAAAAAAAAAAGAAAATGGGGTGGTGCTATTATGTCAGGTGGAGCGTAGTACGCACCGTTTCGCTTTACCGGGAGCGGTGGAACGTACAAGCTGGAGAGTGGGTCCCACTCTAGCGATCCATGCGGCAATTGTTGCGTGACCGTCGTTCTAAACTTCTTACGTGTCCTTTTTCTTTGTTCTTAGGATTCTAGCACGCTGAAGATTCCTCATACCCCGACCCGGATCCACACCCGAATATACATACATGAGGTCCGCATAGCATCCAAAATCTGTTCCCCATCCGGTTACAGATCTAGATTTGGACGGATCCGCTAAGTCCGACCCATTTCATGCTAATACTGAAAGTAGTTTGAAAAAGTACGGATAAATCCAACAGTATTTTGACATTAATTCCGAATTGGCACCTATCCCAACAGTATTTTGGGCCTAAAAATTATAACCTGGGCTGAATTGTAATTCTTCCAAAGTAGCCGAGGTCATTAATGATCGTTGGATTAATATTAGTAATGTCATAGTAAGTATTATTATCCATAGTTTTCAAAACCGGATCGGACCGGATAGTCAGACCGAAAAAATTAAAAACCAGYTAGATAACCGGTTCTGTTTTACCTAAGAATCATTATTTTACCAAAAATGATTAATTTGATCAGAAAATTGCTGACTCAGGTAGTCGAACTATCCAACGGTTTAACCATTTTTTTTCAAAACAAATCATCCTTTTGATTTGAATGATTGAACCGTTTGACCCAAGAACCAGACCCCTGACTGATCGGGGAATAGTCGGATTTTGTCGGTATTAGGGAGAAATCGGATTTGGTACGTTGCTTAGTAGTTCCAACTAAGAAAGGCACCCTTCTCCACATAAACGACTTGAGTCTTTATCATACATAAGCTATAAAAGACTATGTGAGGACTGTAAAGATTAAATCCAAATTCCTGGGCATTTCATTAATCTATCAAGTTCTCCATCTTCTACAATTGTACCTATTTCCAGTTCCATGCTGACTTGGTAGGTGTTTGGCATTGAAGTGTTTCACAAGTATTCCATTTTTCAAAAATATATTGCTGCATTGGTTAGATTCGGGATTCGGGATTCAGGAAAGGAGGCATTTCTTGAATTGCTAAATTGATTATTCTTGAATCTCTTTGGTGATCTTGAATCATTAAAGGCTTAGTTTGAAAAGAGTATAAATACAAATATATACAGTGCAAATACATGCAAAATAATACAAAATACAAAGTTTTGTATTATATATATTTATATTTGTACTCCTTCCAAACTGAGCCTAAGGTRATGTGGCACATTAAAATTTGAAGAAGCGAATTTCTTTTCTAAGATGTCATACAATTATTGATGGTGCTCAATTCGGCCGGTCCTAACTGTCAACGACCTTGCCTCTGACTGGAGCAACAGGGGGCCTGAAATGGAGAAGAAAGTGGGGAGTCTCCGGGGAGGAACCCGGTGAGATTGCTCCGAAGCTCAAGTTAGTATTCTCTCAAAGGCAAGATAAAACCAGATGGCGCAAAGTTCACATACCTTGT